CTTTGGTTTTGCTATTTCTCTTGTATAGATATCTTCATTTGCTGACTTTCGTATGTGGGGGAGATTTTACTATTCTGATTGTTAAAGATTTCAGTTTCAGGATTCTTGGCTTTGTTATTCTTTTTCTTGTGCGCTTTGTAATATGGATTGAAGATCTCAAGAAACATATAGTTATCTTCTCTTTTTCAATGAATTGAATATTATTCTCAAGTGGGTAATGTACATCTTTTGTTTGTTTTGAATTTGGTCATGTGTTGTTAGCCGTGGAAGACTTTCTGTCTATTACTTATCAATAATTTCTGTTTGGGTTTCATAGTGAGTAATGAATGTGTGACCTTATCACTGAATATAGAGTTGTAATATAATAATTATATTGTTGGATGCTTCTGGTATTCCTGTACTGTTATGATCTCTTGGCTGCTTTATTTACATTCTTTCCTTTGCATTAGATTGACACTACATCATCTTGTGTTGTTTGCTCCTGTAGTATAATCATATAAATTATAGATAAAGTATATTTGTAGAGTTGGTTAATATTTTGCTTGTAATATATGCAGGATAACCTTGATAATGCAATGTCACAAAAGTATGGTGAAGAATCATCTTATCCTGAGATTGACCCAGATGTGTGGTTAGAGGTTGCGGGTCCCACAAAAAAAGGACAGGTTTATGGTTTGGGTCACAACTTAGAGCTGTCAACTGATGGATCATCAACGTCTACAACTCCAGCATGTGCTACTTCCTCTTCTGTGTCTACTCCATCACAAGTAGCCATAGATGCAACTGTAAATGCAGCAATGACATCTTTTGTTAGTACTCAGTTGGCACCGATGTTGGAGGGAATTTTATCCCGGTACACTGGCCTTCAAGCTCCAAATTTAACTCCAGTACCACCCCTTCGAGGTGAAGAACCATTAGATCATGTTGCTGAGGCAGAAGATGATGACAATGATTTAAGATTAGACTGATTACTATCTTTATGTTTGTATGTCTTGAATTTAAACTTTGTTTCTGTATTAATGATCAAATATTTAATACACTTTTCTTGTATTTACAGTCTTTAGATATTTAATATAGCGATCTTTAAATTATTTATGTTGTGGTTAGAAGTTAATTTTGAATAATAAATAAGATGTTATATTGAAATTAGCTATACAATTGTTATGGATTAGCTACAAAATAGTTAGAGACTAAATAGAAGCTTTAGCTACAAATTAGCTATGGAATCGCTACAGACTAAGATAGAAACTTTAGCTACAGATTAGCTACGGATTAGCTACAGAATAGTTAGAGACTTTAGCTACCAATTAGCTACAGAATAGATACGGACTAAAATAGAAACTTTAGCTACAGACTTGCTATGGAATAGCTACAAAATAATTAAAGACATTAGCTACGGATTAGCTATGGAATAGTTAGAGACTTTAGCTATAGATTAGCTATGGAATAGCTACGGACTAAAATAGAACGTTAGCTACAGATTTGCTAAGGAATAGCTACAGAATAATGAAGGCATTAGCTATATATTAGTTACGGATTGGCTACGAAATAGTTAAAAACTTTAGCTACAGATCAACTATCGAATAGCTATGGACTAAAATAAAACATTAGCTGCAGATTTGCTATGGAATAGCTACAAAATAATTGAAGACATTAGCTACAGATTAGCTATGGATTTGCTACGGCATAGTTAGAGACTTTAGCTACAGATTAGCTATGAAATAGCTACAAAATAGTTAGAGACTTTTGCTACAGAATAGCTATGAAATAGCTACAGAATAGTTAGAGACTTTTGCTACGGAATAAGCTACGGATAATCCCTAGCTAATTAGCTACGAACTTGTTATTTTGTTTATTGAAAATTAGTTAGGAATGAGCTATGGATTAGCTACAGACCTAAAAATTAATAGCTACAGAATAGCTACGGACAAAGCTACAGATAATCCCTAGCTAATTAGCTACGGACTTGTTATTTTGTTTACTGAATAATCAACTATGGATTAGCTACGGATTAGCTACAGCTTAGCTACGAAATTATTCTGTAGCTAATCCGTAGCTAATTAGCGACCTATTTTACGCTACAGACAATTCCGTAGCTAATCCGTAGCTGATCTGTAGCTAAATTTATTAGCTAGGGATTAGCTATGGATTAGCTAGAAAATTGTTTGTAGCTAAATCTATTTTTTCTTGTAGTGTTCTTCGTGTCTCTGACCTTTAACTAGTGGTAACCGCTGGTAACTGCCGCTTTGGTAGTCGCTTCAAACCTTGTAGTTCTTTCAACATGTTTCTCCACTTTTTTAGCTCCATCCTACCTCTTTGACTTAGAGTAATTTCCCTTGTCAATTCCTTTTTTCGCAAGTTTTAAGAAAAATTCGTGAGCTTCATCCTATCTCGTGGACTTGAAAAAATTTCTCTACTTAATTCTTGTTTCGATAAGTTTCAAGAAAAATTTGTGAGCTTCATCTTGTCTCATGGACTTAAAGTAATTTCCTTGTCAGTTCCTAATCTTTTCTTTTTTGTCTTAAAACTGCTTATTTTATTTGTACAAACAAAGAATAAAATAAGAATTTTTGTATATGATAAGCATTGTGAATACGAGTAAATAAAATATATTTTTGTGAATATGATTATTTACAAAATTTGTTAATCATGGAATATTAATTAAATAATAGTAAATTTAAAGATCATAATAAACCAAAAACAAATTTTCAAATATGGATACTAAACATGCATTATATATATCAAGTATAAAAATTTACAAACTATTTGTCAAAATATATGAGACTTTAAGATAATAATCACACAACCAAAATAATTACATCACAAAAATATTTTAAGTTTCAGAGCAATCCTAAAAATTATCCAAAAGCAATCCTAAAAATTATCCAAACACTGAGGACCCAGTGCTAGTCATCTTCATGTCATCCTTCTATCTCTGCTAAATCCTCTTAATCGAGATCATCATTTGATTCGAGATATAAATCTCCTAAGTCAGCCGCAACCTCAACACCAATGACTCGCTCACCGATAACTCGGGTCAACCTTCCAAGATGGTTATGATCATGGTATATTAATAAATACGTGAAGGTTGTTGGGGTCTTAACTGTACCTCTATAAATATATAAACTTAACATATGGTGGATTCTACTTATAGAAAAATCAAAGGGACGCTATAATATAGTTCCATCTCCAACATAATAATATTCCTAGGTATGTCATCAATATGTACGGCCAACTTAAAATAACATGTCCTTTGGTACTCATTAAATATATAATTAAGTCTACAATGTATAGAACTGTCTATTAATCTAATTCTTTCCTGTGACGTCATTATCATGTTTTCTTAAAAATTTTAGTAAGGATGAGTGTCTATTCTATCATTTTACAAATAAGCACATTACATGAAATCATAATATGACATAAAGAAACATAATCATTCCAATAACCAATTCACAGAACAACCATAATCACATACTGATACCAACATTATTTACTTTTCTCCTTAAATACACACTCCCAGTGCCCTATGATCACAGACAATGATGCATCCAGCATTACTTGAGGTCTTAGTCAACTAGGCAAACAGTCGTCTGTTAGCCCATGTACACGGATACAATGCATACAATAACGAACCCCTTAGCAAAGGTATAGTCAAGAGTCTAGTCACGAAACGAGTGTGAGGCCATGTGATGCATTCACTCTTGGAAAGAGTGTGTACAAATACATAAATTTTGTTTACCACCCTACGTTTCCCCTAGATTTTTTATCCTCTCCGGACTCTATACTCCTAGTGTATCTCTGTAACTATTCACATTAGATTCATTCGATGTCCAACACTTATACTTGTATTGAGAATCCGTTCATTCTCCACTCATAAGATCATGCTTAGTAAAGCACTTCCATGCTAAGTTCACATCACTCATTTCTTTAGAGCTTAGTTTCACTCATTAAATCATTTAGACAACATCATACTTTATAATAGCTGCAAAATGCTCATATACATATATCAACATATAGTCTATGTATTCCAACTTACAAATACAACGTCATGCATCATCATCATCTCATATAAACATATTTCATATAATTATAACACTCCACGTTGAGGACTTATATATATATATATATATATATATATATATATATATATATATTACATGTAAACATATCAACCATTCAAGCCACACAACCTAACAAGTATATTCTCGACTATCATTCATAAATATTATACTCCAAAACACGTATTTTCACAAAATCCCTATGTCATAGTGCTCTAATGAGCATACACTACAAGAAAATTATGGTTTACCCATGGTTAATTATGACATTAATGAGAGTTTAAACAGTCGTAAATGACGTTACCCACGGTTGATAAAACCTTAGTTAATTTAAGCGTGGCAAACATATTACTGGCAGTTTTGAACAACCGCAGGTAATTTTGGTATTTGTCGCGGTTAAACCAACCTCTGTTAATTAACAACGGTTTCAGATAACCTTCGTAAATTTTCGGCAGTTCAGTAACCATCGTTAATTGCCCGCGATTCATTAACCTTCATTAATTGCCGCGGTTACATAACCATCGTTAATTACTTACGGTTTAGGAATTGTCGTTAAATTCCCGCGGTTCAGAAATCGTTGTTAGTTAGCCTGGGTTTTATAAACCACCATTAAATTTCGCATGGATTACCCACGGTTTGAAACCCCCATTAATTTGCCAGAATTGCCAGCAGTTTTGAAACCCTCGTTAAATGCATGTGAATATATAAAATTTGAATAATTAAAATATAGCATATTTTTAATTCACCTGTATCATATAATATTACATAAAATTCAAATAATTTTGTTTCATTGATAAACATAACAAATTTTAAAAACCACAAACATTTATATAAAATCAAAAGTGATACATAAAGATCTTATAATACAAACTCATAATAATATTCTAATTAAAATAAAACATGTCATGTCTTTCATTCATAGATGAACTACTGCTATAATCCCTAAGAAAACCACTCTTTAGCTGGAGAATTTGAAGAAGAATGATCAGTCACATTAGTTGGTTGTGCACTTCCTTGATTAGACACCTGAAATGTAGTAATTAAGAACAAGTTCAAAATTTGAATTGTATGTAATTTATTTAATACATTATTAAAACAATTAAATTTAAAAGGATTACCAGTGAACTTTGAAATATAGCTAAGTCTGGAGGTAGTTGACCTTGAAAGTTCTGAATGAAAAAATTCATCATTACATCAAATTTTTTATTTTGTTCATCCATTTGAGACTTTAAAACAGTTACTTGATTCTGCAATTCCCCATAAGAAGGAAGAGATGAGGACATTCCACTATATGAACGAGCAGGATATCCAAAGACTTGAGACAGACAAGGACCCAATCCCAAACCTCGAACACGGCCATAATGCTCTTTACTTTCTAAAACATGAGCTAATGAATCTTGAGTAGATATTTCTTGGGATAAAGATCTGCTTGATTCATATTCTTGAATTTTTTCCTACAAAAGCACCATTAAAATAGTCAAGCTCAAATTACACAAATAACCAAATGTTAATGTTAACATACTTGTGTTTTGTGTTTAAAGATAAAAGCAACATATCTCAATACCAAATATAAAAGTGTATATCATGTAGCAAGTAGTTCAATAAAACATAACATACACTAATTTCTTTGGCCTCCTGGCTAACAAAATGTCCATTTGCATGTTTATATGTAATAGTCCATACTTCTCCCCTGCTAACTTTTCGACCAGACTCTAGTTCCTACAAAGTAGGAAAAAAATGTGAATTTTACGTTAACTGCAAAATTATATTTTCATTATTTATAATTTATGCTTACCATCTCTGCCTCTTTTTTGTGCAATGCTTTTAGATCCACCAGTGTGAGGAATTATCTATTTCTTTCTATTATCTCTATTTTTCTGGGCATTTTCCTAATAATCAACAATGAAAATATTATTCTCAATCACAAAAATCATAAGGTAAGAAATATGTTATTTTACCTTTGTTTTTGAACTTAGACGGTAATCAACAAAAGAAGCCCAATGGTCTCTATTTACTCCTTCTGGGACTATCTCAATCAACTAATCTCTGTTACATGTACTATCATCCCTTTGTTGCCACAATTCTTGCCTATACTCTCTCCACTTTGAGTTAAGTGATTTGAAGATATAACTCTTATGAAGGTCAAAGTCAACTTCAAACTTAGGCTGCAAAATAAAATAAAAATTAATTGATGTTCATAGTATTTTATAATTGAGGCTCAAATTATTAAAACATAAGGTTTGGTTTAGCATGTGTGAGTTAAGTAATTCTAACCTGAATGGTGTGATTGAATACATATTCTTTGTAATCTTTGGGAACTTTTTTCCAGCTAGTATAATTGATTGGGAATAGCTGAAAGTCCCTTGCAACAGGACCTAAGAACCTATTCAACAATCCTGCACCATCTCCAATTAGTTGTCCTTCATCATTCCAATTCAATATGATTTTTTCATTGGGAGGAAGACACCAAACATCATTGACTATGAGTTGTTTCGTCTATCTTGTGCCATTTTCATCTGTGAATCAAAAGTTAGCACATAGATTTAAAAATATTAAATTTAAGTGCATTATAATAGGTAGCAATTTTACCAACTGTGTCAACAAGCCAAGCTCTTTTACGCAATGTTGATTGTGAAGGTTGCATTTGGGACTCTATTTATCCTTCCTCTTCACTATCATACTGTAACTCTATTGAAGGTTGAGCAGTAGATTGAGGTACATGTATAGATGAAGACTGAGCATGCAACTGTGGTGTGGGTACTGATGGAGGCTGAATATGTAACTGTGGTGCAGATGGAGGCTCAATATTCAACTGAGGTGCAGTTGGAGGTTGAGTATGAAACTGTTGTGCTGAATTACTCCTTTTGTTAAAAACCAGCTTTGGGTGAATTCCTATAAAGCAACAAGTAGTGTCACCATTAGTAACTTGTTATGAGAAATATTCATTATATAAATTGACTGAATTGTATTTATAAGAGGATAAAGGAATTATACTGTCATGAGATACAGGTGAAGGTTGTGTGTCAGACTGAGTTGTAAATGGAGGCATTATACTTGTCTTGAGTGCAGATGTAGGCATTGTACTTGATTGAGGTGCTGAATTAGTCTTCTTAGTAGAAAATACCTTCATGTTTGTAATTCCTAAAAAGTAATAAATACATTGGTAAAACATTATCCAATCCATGCACATAACTATTAAGATCTCAGTAGTTGAATATATAGATGAAGTATCCCTTAAAATGACTCAGCAATCCACCCCCTTGAACTAGCTTTTGGGTTTGATTTAAGTTCAATCAGTTCCGGATTCTGTTAGGACATCAAATCCTATTCTAGTCCTGTTGTTGGGTCAGCCATAGACATCCAATCCTGTCAATGTCAAGTTCTATATGTCTACTTTTGGGTGAAAAAGGTAGAGGGTTTAAGATTCACCTTTGGTTGAGTATATAGACAAAGTACCCTAACGATTTGACAATCCTCTTCCCTCTAGCTGTCACGACCCCTTTTATAAGGAACCAAGAACATTGTTTCTACACCACATACTTATTTAAAATAGGTAAATAATAGAGAATATAAGTATAAAATTCACTTTTCATTCAAAGTAAAATAAAGTTCCTTACAACAATTATCCAACAGAACAACATAATATTACATTTAGTTCATAATATTCAAAATATCCAAAATTATACTATGTAGCTCCCTCTACATGAGGTCTCAAAATATAAAGAAAAAGAGACTTTAATGCAAGATTACTCAACTCCAGCTTCTAACATTTCTCCACTGGCCTCTCAACCTGTGAAGTAGATGCAACACCTACTACATCTGTTCACGTACCACCGTACGATCATCGCAGTACACACACACACAACGACATAGAAAGAAATGCAAGGGTGAGCTTACCAAACATAAAATAAAATCATATATATAGAGCAAAATATTTCTCACAGCAATAACCCCATGCATTTTCAGCCCATCTAATGCACAGCATGAAAACGGTTTGCAATTGGTTTCACAGCCTAAGTAATTCAGAAGGAACCGAGTTGGTCCGGGAGTAGGGATGGAAACAGGCCAGGCCAGGCCAGGCTTTACTGTAAACAGGCCTGGCCTGTAACATAATTATTAGGCCTGAGTCTGGCCTGTTACCTGTTAAAGGCTTTATTTTAGGCCTGACCTGGCCTGTTTAAGTGGCCTGGCCTGGCCTGAAGCCTGTTAACAAAGCCTGTTAAAAAAAAATTAATATTAATAAAAATGTAAATATTTTATTATTAAATTAGTTTATACATTTTTCTAATTTCTATCTATGTTCTTAATAATTATTAAATAATTATAATAATATTTATATAATTTTATAAATAATTTTTAAAATATTATTTAAGTATTAATTATAAATATTTTATATTAATAAAATTTATATTTATATTTTTTATTTATTTTTTAAAATTATATAAATAGTAAATATTTTAGTTTTACTTTAGAAACATATTTTGTTTATTTAAAGACATCTTATATTCAACAAATAAAGTTATAGTAAATACATAAAATTGATTAAAAAAAATAACTTTCACACAGTTTGTTTAATCAATTAAAAGAAAATTATATATTTTAAAAAAAATAAATTTAAACTTACTGCAATATATATATATATATATATATATATATATATATATATATAATGACAATAATAATAACTATTAAATTAAAAAAATAATTAGTAAAAATAACACTTATAAAATTTATTGAATTAGCTAAAAAAAATATTATATTTTAAAAAGTAAATAAATATCGTCATTATAAAAATTGTAGATGATAAATACTTATATTATAAAATTCATAGATGAAGAAAAATAACATATGAGCATAGGAAGAATTATTAAAATTTATATTTAAATTAAAATAACTTATATTTCTAAATTTTTATCTTAATTAAAAAATATGTGATAAAATTTAATATAAAAATTTAAACTTAATGTACTATATATATAAAATGAAAACAATAATAACTATTAAATTAAAAAATAATTACAAAATATTTAATTTTATTTGTCTCATTAATTTTTTATTTTAAATTAATAAATAAATGTAAAATTAACTACACTATAATATTAATGTAATATAGAAAATATTACTGATACAATAAATTAAAATACATACTTATAAATTACATATAAATTGATAAATTGATTAATAATTTAATTAAAACATGTGCAAGTTATAAAAATATATATTATTATATAATTGATTTATAATTATATTCTTTATATTATTTGTTACATGGTCTGATTATATATATATATATATATATATATATATTATAATAAATTTTTTATTTTATTTGTTATTATTTTTTTATAAATTTTTACTTTCAAATAAAATATAATTCAGATTTAAGCAATCTCTATTTATTATAAATAAAAAGAATTATAACATAATATATTAATATAATAATTAAATTAATAATAATAAAATTAAGAGTATAAAAAATATATTAATATAATTTTATTATTTTAGTTTTAAATTTTATTTCGTTTAATTTTGATTACGTCTTATTCCTATTCAAAGACTTAACTATTTTTTAAATTATTTAAATATAATAATTTATTATTAAATAAATTTATTATTTAAAAAGTGTAATCATGTATAAATATTTTTAATTTTTAATATAATATAATTTCTATTTATTATAATTATAAATAAATAAAATTATAACATAATATATTAATTTAATAATAACAGAATTAAGAATATAAAAATATATTATGAAATAACTTTATTATTTAAATATATATTTTGATAGCTCTATTTTTAAATTATATAATATATATATATATATATATATATATATATTTATACAGGCAGGCCTGTCAGGCTTAACAGGCTTTATAAACAGCTCAGGCCTGGCTTGTTTACTTAAACAGGCCTTAAAAAAGGCCTGAGCCTAGTTTGTTTATTAAAAAGGTCAGGCCACAGGCCCCTGTCAAGCGGCCTGGCCTGTTTCCATCCCTATCTAGGAGCGACCCATTCCGGTATCTGGATCCAGACGGCATAGCACAGCAGTTCAGCATGAACTTACCATTACACGTCTACCAACCTAAACATGTAACTCGGCTCTATAATGATGCAAAACATATATCTCAGTATGATGCACACCGCCAAAATTATTTTAACAGCTCAACTAAGGAAAGTTTATAATAGATCAGCCAAAATCTCAATATTTTAAATCAATTAACAGCAGTTACAGCTTAGAAAATAGCTTTTATTCAATAGATCTAACAAAATCATATCAAAACATCTTGAAATAACATATTAAACCGTTCAAAAAGAAGTTCATTGGTTAAAGTAAGCTCCCCTTACCTCAGAACGATGATTCACACTAGATCTACCGAATATTACTTATTTTAACGCAAGATTCACCGAAGATTCGGCTTTAGAACGGAGTTTCTCCTAAAATATCATCAACTATCTATAAGAAAGAGAAGAAAAAGGAAAACGAACGGTAAATCTAACTTCAAACTTATAGTAACTTACTTCAAATCCTTCAGAATAGACGTAGAATCTCAGATCTGGTGAAAACTCTAAGTTTAGGAGGGTTTAATATGAGAGAAAATAGTGGTATATGGCCTTGGAACCTTTGAGAACCTTGTAGAGGAATAAAGAAATGAAAATTTCGTGTGAAGCCCCCTTTTTATAGAAAATTTTCAAAATTCACTGTTCACCACCAGAAACACTATTCATCGCCGGAAACACTGTACACGCGTACTGTACACGCACTGTACGCATATGTGACGTCAGTCATGACGTCAAGATGATGTCACTGATGATGTCAACGGTCACTGTACATAAGCGGTTTGCATTGCTCATAGGCAGTTTTACTGTTAATCTGACACTGTTCATACGATACTGTTCATCTTTTTTTTTTTTTTAAATAATTTTAAACTCCATCTAAATCTATTCCAATACCAAATATTCCTTCGATTAACATTGAACAAGTATAAAATATTATAGATTACTCAATAATAAATCACTAGCCTAACACTAGCTAGCTTTTGGGGCTGATTTAGGCATGTACATTCCCAATTGTAACAAACACCAAGATCAATCAGTAGTGAAATGAGAAATGTTGCTATCATGGGCAAACCTATAATATGATGACTCTGGTCTACTAGAGATGTTAAGGAAATAATATTAGAGTAGCATGCCAATGAAACAGAGGTCCCTCCACAATAAACTTTCAAGATTATCCCATCCATTGATATTATTAGACATATGCGGAAGTGGAAAAGTGCTTATACAAATGATAAATATAGAATGACACACAAAGAACGGTTAAATGCAACTGTGTTTAGATGCATCTATTGAAAGTGATCTAAGAGACTACAGAAAAATGAGAGCACAAGATGCAAGGGGAAAAGAAAGATGTTGATCCCTGTACAATGAACTGCTATAAGTTTTTTCAAACGAAAACTCTATCATGTTGGTATGATAAATAAAGTTTTAATTTCTAACCTTGACTTGGAAACCAAAATTCTTGGTAGTGATGATAAAAGAGTGACAGATCCATGTGAAAGAGGTAAGGAGAACATGGACAACAAGCATAATATAACAGCCTAGTCAATAGTTTTAATTTCTATTCTAACCTTGACTTAGAAA